AAATTTTCCACCATTTAATTCTTGAAAAAGCTGAATAAAGCTGTTTACAGCCTGAAAATCAGATCACATGCCAAAAAAAACAAAAAAAATGATAAAAAAATGTCAAATTTGAAAGAATCCGTGAAGAACACTGTGCAACCCGTGTTCTTCACGGACTCGCCGATTCCGCACAGTGAATCGGCGAGTCACTGTGCGGAATCGTCCGGTTCTCTCTAGAACCGGACGATTCCCGATTCTTGAAATGATCCGGTCCATTTTCGTGAAATCCGAGTCGAACCGGGCGAGTCCGGTTCGACTCGGCGATTTTTTAAACGCTGGTTAAATGGTATGAACTCAAAGCTTTGCCTGTACAAGACTGTAAACTGTTGGTACACTAATAGTGTGAAACCCAAAACCTCGGTTGGCAATGATATTAGTGCTGAAAAATAATAAAAATAACAATTTTATTGAAATTGATAGAGAGAAAATGGATATGGAGAAAGGAATTTTGTTGTCAATCATATGGATAACTAGGGAGAAACGCAAAAAAATCTCAGATTTTGCTGTGTAATTCACAATAAGGTAGCTAGCCCGGAGTCTATCCCCTTGCCACATATGGCAAGTTTGCACATCACGGTCAAAATCTCTCTCTGCTTAATCAATGATAAAGCCTTCCTTCTTCACTTCCTCTCTTTTCTCTCTCTCAAACTTAAAAGAGTAAAAGTCTGTTGGGCTGTACACTACCATTTGAGTGTTATTGATATGTAGTTTCAAAGGAAAAGGAATGTAATTACCAAAAAGGTGGTATAAAAAATTAAAGGCAATAATGTCATTATAGAAAGTGAATAATGTTATTAAATATATTAATAAAAAAAAGAAAAAAAAAAGATAGATCATAAAGTAAATGGTAGTCATGAGACCTTTATAGTCATACTCCATCAACATCTTCCATTGAAAACAAGAGATTTGAACTTTGACATGATCTCATTAGAGCCGGGTAATGACTTCTACACCTTTCCTGCTCAAACTCATTCAAATTCAATTCGAACTATTGATTTATGTAATATTTACGCATCATATTCAATAAATTTAATTATTCTTAAGAAGGTTTATCTCTATATTAAATGACTGAGTGTTACCCATTCATTAAGGGTCTTTTTGACAAAGTAAGATTTTCAAAATTTAGAAATTTGCATAAAAGATATAATGCCAATATATCCAAATTACATATTATCTTAATATCTATTTCCTTGTGGTTGTTGATTGTCTACTTGCATTGTAGAATTATTAATGATTTGATATTTTTATTGTTTGACCAACAAGATTATATTTTATTGATCCTTTCCTATTAAGCACATATTGATAAATATAAAATTCATATTAAGCCTTCCACTTTTCATCCAAACCCACCGTACATAGGTGAAACAATAGTGTTCTAATTTACAATCCAATTGTTTATAAAATCCACTAGTCCTTACAAAATAAATATCAATAAATCACTCAACAAAACAAAATGGAGTATATACTTGTATTCTCTGCTCTTTTGTATAACTGCAGAGTTTAGTAACAATCTAATAACAATCTCACCTACTAATCAACCTCATAGAGAGATGAAAGTATATGATAATCTTAATAAAAAAGAGGGAGAGGGAGAGGGAGAGGGAGAGAGAGAGAGTACTAAAGCATGACAATGTTACAGTACCAAGAGAAACAAAACGAAATAAAGTTCTAATTTCTATCTTTCTCTTTCCCCTCTCAAAGAGATCCAATCCACACAAGGAAAAGATAAAGAAAATAAAATAAATGTTAATTGTGCTAGTGGGAGTATGTGTATAATAAGCAATCATGTATATAACTATGCAATCGACACAACGGTAATTACATAAATATGCATTGAAATAGTACGTTGATATGTGATAAGCAATCATGTAAAGATAAAATTACAAAAATACCCCTTTAATTTACCATTATTATCAAAATCCCCATAAGATAGAAGTATTACGTTCATACCCAATTTGCATAATTTTCATTTTTTTTTCCAAAATGCCCTAACTTTGATTTTTTAGAATCTAAATTTCCGACCTATTTTCCTTTTAAAACATTTTTTCCTCTTATATGCCTCAAAAAATAAAAACTTCAAATTCCCAAAATCCAAAGCTTTTTACTTGATAAAAACATTTCGACTTATAGCAACGCAAAAATCTTTATATTTCTGCTTTTAAAGATCTTGTAATTATATTCTTGCAAATAAAGTTCAATTTCCCAACTACTTTTCAAAGCCACGGGCCTATTATAAGTACAACTGGAAAACATGTGGACACAATCGTAAAAAACATGAAGAACAAAACATAAGCGTAACACTAGATTGGATCTTGGCTTTACAATTGAATATAGATAGAGATAAATATCCATCATCGATTACAATTCATTCACATAATCACCTTCCATAACAAAATATAGAAAAGATTTAACAATTACAGGTAAAATTAATCATGGTATGATGAAAAAACATTAATAGTATAAAAAAAACAAAAAACAATGATAACAAACTCAAATTCAATTAAAAAAGATTAAAAAAGACGTACAAGGATTCTACTGAAGAATTCTAAGATATCACATCCGGTAAAGATACAAAGAGAGATAGAATGAAAAGGGGACTACGACCACGAAAATACGTGTTTAGACTTTAATAAATCTTCTTAAAAGAGTGTCGAAATTCTAAATCATAAGTGATCTTGCCTATTTAATGTATTAAAATAGGGGAATGATCTTATGCATTTTAGATACATAATAGCAATGGTACATCAGTAATGATGATTCCTGGCTATTTGTACTGCTTGTGCCTGAATTAATGATTGGAATATGGTCAATTGAAAATCTTGATAATGGGTTCCATGCTGCCATCTCGCATTGATCCATCTGAGATGGCGGGCTGATCCATATAGAGATCAGGAAAGACACCATAATAAGGAGTTTTCATTGCAGGTTTCTGTCTCTTTATGGGTTTTTCATTGCTGATTTGTACGCTCTCTTTGTTGCTAGAAAGGGGAAGAGAGAGAAAAGGGGATTTGTGAGTTTCTAATTGTTGTTTGTATGCTGAGGAAAGAGGGAGAAAAGGGAGATTTTGTAGGAGAGGAGAAAAAGGGCAAAACAGTAAAAATGGTTTATCTTAAAAACCTAAGATGGTCTACCAACTTAAAATTATCATGCACCCAACATGGTGTATTTATAATGCATAGGATCATTCCCCATTAAAATAATTAGCTTCCAAGGCACCAAATTACCTTTTATTTCTTGAGAGAAAGTAGCTATGGTTGGAAATTTATTTATTGACAGAAAGTAGTTATTGTTGAAAATTTGGATAACAAATAAAAGTTTGTAAAATACGATAAACAGGTCTTGTTTATGAGAAAAACTTTGGGTTAATAATATAGTATAAATAGATAAATATATTTTAACCTTGTTTGACTTACGAGGGGCATTTTTAACCAAAACAAGATAGTAATGGTAAACTTGATGTGAATAAAAAAATGATATCAAGTTCTATGCATAACATATCCATGGGTATTTCTATGAGCTTCAAAACTTTATCCTAACTATTTAGGGTTGACTACACGAATCTTGTTATGCTATTTGTTTGATAAAAGGCCATACCCTGAAGTCGATTCAAGATTCATGGAAATTTGCAAAAACAAATTTACAGTAACTGCCTACCTAGCGCAACCCACCTATTTTATCTGGGTTTGAATCTACACGACCGGCAAGGCCACCCAAGGCAGAGTTATCTGGGGATATTTCTGTAGTTTCCCAAAATTTTATTATTTTGCAATGCATAAAGAGTACAATAATAGATTTTCATTTATTTTTCTATTTTTGATGTTAACATTTCCGTTCGATGATTATTTTTTGTATCAAAATTATGTACAAAGGGCACAATAACCAGTTTAAGAGAACTTACTAAAAAATTTGAGGCCCATTGCTCCTCTCACATAGGCAACAACAACAATACCTACTAAAACAGTTGTTGCCTTTTCTCTCTTACCAGCACTAAACAAGTGAACATCCACAACCCTTTCCCTCTCTTCATCTCCCTCACTCACTAAGCAACCTCTACTCAAAAGAGCCTCGGCTTAATTGGTTAGCGCTTGATGATTTGCAACGTTACGTCCTAAACTCAATTCCTACCAAAGGTAGGAGCCCCTCTTCACCGACTCACCCCAAAAAAAAAACCTCTACTCAAAATTTAATGCAAGCTCTCACTCACACTGAACTGAACCCATGGCTCTTCTTCAGCCCTCTCTCTCTCATCATCTCCCTCACTCTCTCTGCCCCTTCCCACAACCCCATTGAAGCATACACATTAGAAAGCATAACATAAGCATCTGGCCTGTCTGGCTCAAGCACAAACAGCTTCTCAGCCACTCTCTCAGCTAACTCAACATTCTTATGAATTTTACAAGCACCCATTAAAGCTCCCCAAACACTGCCACCAGGCTCTATAGGCATCTCACTAATGAACAATTCAGACTCTTCAATAAGCCCTGCTCTCCCTAACATATCAACCATACATGCATAATGATCTTCCACAGGCCTAATCCCAAACTTCTCTTCCATAGAGTTGAAGATTTCCCATCCTTTATCAACCAAGCCGGAGTGGCTACAAGCGGATAAAACCGAGACCAGAGTCGATGGTTCGGGGTTTAACCCTTCCTCGAGCATTGATTTGAAAAGTTCTAGAGCTCCTGAGCCCAGGCCATGGGTTCCATAGCCTGAAATCATGGCACTCCAAGAGAAAACACTTCTTTGAGGCATTGAATCGAAAATTCGTCTCCCCAAATCCAAAGCTCCGCATTTTGTATATGTATCGATCAAGCAAGTGTAAAAGATCGCGTCAGGTTCTAACCCAAATCGAAATAGGTAGCCATGGATGCTTTTACCATGTTTTAGAGACCCCAGCTGAGAGAAAGCAGATAGAACACTAGATAGAGTGAGAAGATTAGGTTGGATTTTTTCTAACAACATTCTACTAAAGAAATCTATTGCTTCCGAAGCTCTCCCATTTTGCACTAACCCTGAAACCATGGCACTCCATGAGACGAGATCTTTCCTATTCATTCCTTCGAATGTTCGGGTGGAACAGTCGAGGGAGCCACATTTTAAATACATGTTAAGAAGGGAAGTCTCAAAGTAAATGTCAGAATAGAAGATAACTTGTCTTCTTAGGCCATATCCATGAGTGGCTTTGCCTTCTTTAAGAGAGAAAATTAGGCCACAGGCCTGAACTAGGCCAACAGCTACAAATGGGTCCAATTCAAAACCCAGTCTTTTCATCTCAAAATAAAGATCAAAAGCTTCATGAGCTCGATTAACCTTCACATAGCCTCTGATCATGGCACCCCATGAAACCCAATTTCTTTCACACATTTTATCAAACACTCTTCGAGCCTCATCCAAACAATGGAATCTCACATACATGTTAATAATTGCAGGAACCACATAGCTATCTCTCTCTAGATTCAATTTTACTGCGCTGGAGTGAAGCGTTTTCCCACAACTTAAGAGAGAGACACGGACACAAGCCTTTATGGCAAATACCATATTGAAGCTCTCTGGTTTAAAACCATGGCTGCACATCTTTTTGTAGATATTCAGGGTCTCTGAAAAGAACGCATTTTTGTAAGACGCAGAAATGATTGCGTTCCAGTAATGGCGTGTTCTCTGAGGCATTTTATCGAAGATTTGACTGGCTTGAATGGAGGCAACACAAAATGACGTATTAGTTGATGAAGTCAAAGAGAGAGGAGTGATTAGCTGAGGCCATTAGAGAGGAACTGAGTGTACAGTCGTTTGAAAAGGGAGGGAGGAGCGAGGTCAAGAAATAGGAGTGGAGTTTGTAGCTTTTTTAAGGGAATTATTTCATGCGGGCTGGACTGCATTTCTACAGATGCAGTCCGAAAAGCGTAAAGCATCCATCTTAAAGATGGATGCAAGTAGGTGTAACATTTAAAAACAATGAAAATCAACGGTCCAAATGTTTTTTTATTAGAATTATTATTTCGAGTTTTTAAAATTTATTTATTTGTTCATATTCATGATCTCTTCACGTTAGAGATTACATGTTTTTTAGGTCTTATAATCCATCTCAAAAATAGATTTGTTAAGGAGCCCACATTTCTACATAAAAAAAAGTTTATATAAGGATGCAACCTTATAATGTAGAACTATGGATGCACCTCAAAAATTCATCAGAAAACGTAGTTTTAATGTTGAAAAACCCTTTTATCGATCATCTCAACATCGAGATGTATGACCATGAAAAATAAAAAGGTTTTAAGTATGAAAAATAGTGTATTTTGCAACATATTATCTACACCGTCCATTTTCAAGATTTTCATATGTTTATAAATCTAGTTGATTTTAACCATTTTGAAATTTAAAATTTTATAATTAGATATAAAAATAGATTTTGAGATAATCCTAAAACCATTTTACATCAAAATTATATACTATGATAAAATTTGAAAGTGCACCTTACCTCTACTGCTACGATGCATCCATATGCCAACTGCACCCAAAAACAAAACACATAAAAACTAAAATATGGGAAACATTTTGCTATATACATCTAAATTTATGGGGATTGAGTGAATTCCTTTATTGTTAATTAATGCATTTATTTCTAAAATAAAATTTCATTTATTTTTTCAAGTACCTGCATAAATATTGGGATGGACCCAATCCATAGGGTCTACTAATAGCCTAATATTATATTTATTCATTACATGTACACTTATATATGGTAAAACCCTTCACTCTTGCGCTATAAAATTGAAGGGATTGTACACAATGAGACTATCTAACTTTGATACAAGTGGTCACAATTACTTATGACCATTTGATACGAAAGTTGATAGCTTGAGTGTTTTCCAAACTTCGAAAAAAATTTCTTTTGAACTTTGAGCTTGGAACTTGGTCAATAGAATAAATGCAGCCATTTGATTTCATATCCAATAGTCAAGGTTAATTGTAACCACCTTATACCAGAGATAAATGGTCTCATTGTATACTTTTCCAAAATGGCAAAAAAAAAAACAGACGGCTTTGTGGGTATTGCAATCATAAACAGTCGAGCCAATATTCTATGTCCATACTCTCAATTGGGAGCTCTAGCAAGAGCCTCCATGGTTACCCATTTTGAATCGGGTTAGAACCTAATACAATCTTCTACACTTACTTGATCACTACATACACAAAATGTGGAGCTTTGGATTGGGTTTTCGATTCAATGTCGAATGTTTTCTCTTAGAGTGCCATGATTTCAGGCCATGGATCCCATGACTTGGGCTCAAATGCTCTACAACTTTTCAAAGCAATGCTCGAGGAAGGGTTAAATCCTGAACCACCGACCTTGTTCTTGGTTTTTATCAGCTTGTACCGACTCGGGTTTGGTTAATAAAGGATGGGAAATGTTCAACTCCATGGAAGAGAAGTTTGGGATTAGCCCTATGGAAGAGAATGTATGCATGCTGATATGTTAGGGAGAGCAAGGCTAGTTGAAGAGGCTGAATTATTCATTAGTGATATGCCAATAGAGCTTAGTGCGAGTGCTTGGGCAGCTTTAATAGTTGCATGTAAAATACATAAGAATGTTATGTTTAGCTAAGCGATTGGTTGAAAAGCTATTTGCGCTAGAACCAGGCAGCACAGATGCTTATGTTCTTCTTTCTAATGTGTACTCATGCTTCCATGTTGATGTGGAAAGGGTACCGAAGTGTTTCAAGACCTATGAACTTTTAAGTACCGTAATGACCAGGCTAATCATTACGGCATTTTAAATACCATAATGCTCAAATTTTCAAGCATTTCGATACTTTAAAGACCATAAGCACCCCATAATGCCCAAAATTCAAATTGGCTACAAAGTAGTATTGAAACTTGCTGAAAAAAACAATAAAGAAAGATTTCTTTCCTCAAGCGAGAAGTCTAATGAGATGTGGCAAAAGAGGGAGAAGGAGAATTAGTGACCATTACGGTCTTTAAAATACCGTAATGCTTAGCGTAGTCATTACGGTACTTAAAGTACTGTAATGTTTAGCCTGATCACTACGGTATTTAAAGCACTGTAATGCAGTAGTTATTATGGTAATACGACTATTGTGAAGGCTATTTTATAAATAATAAAAAAAAAAATCAAAATTAAGAAAAAATTGTGGTGGACAAGGTTTATGAAAGTTAAGGGTTTTTTTTTTTTCAATTAGACAAAAATTAAAATATATTTCTTATAACTTCCCTAATATGAAATGTTTTAATAAAATTTAAATAAATATATCGATATATTTTTTGTTCAAATATTTAAATAATACATATATAAATTTAACATAGTAATCGAATATATTTTTATTTTGGGATCGGGTCCTGTCCCATAAATTTATCGGGTCTGGGCCAGGCCTACCCGATGCCACCCCTAGAGTCCTGGGTTTAGTGTGAGTGAGAGCCAACAGGCATTAAATTTTGAATAGGCATTGGGTGGAGGTTGCTTAGTGAGGAAGATGAAAGAGAGAGGGCTGCTGAGGGAGGGAGGGAGGGAGATGAAGAGAGAGAGGGTTGTGGAGATCCACTTGTTTAGTGCTAGTGAGAGCGGTAAATGTTGCATGTGCATTGCTCGATAATTTCTTCTTATCGTTGCCCCACCAGAAGGGGCTGCTTTCCTAGGAATGGTTGAACTGATTATTGCATCTTCACTACATGACCTTTCATGGATAACCCACGTTCCATCCACCAAATTACTGCAATCATAGAAAACATGATATCCATTTGAAAAAGCTTCTGCGCATAACCAAATTTACTAATATCAAATTCTAATATCGAAATCGTTTACACAAAATTGGGTAATTTACCCCATTATATCGGACCATAACAAACCAGCGTAGGAAAAATCGTTAATCCGTCGGGTACTGGGTTTGGCCGGTTTTGGTGAACTGATCGGGTATTTTAAAAATAATTATTTAAAATCTTAAAAAATAAGAGATTTTGTTTGTAATGTATTATTTAATATTTTTCGTCATTTTGGGGAATTTTTTTTGGCAATTAATACTTATTTTTTTATTTTCGCATCTTTTGAAAAATTTCAAAAATACCCCTAAACACAATTGATTATTTAAAATCCTTTTATTATTATTATTATTAATTTTCAACATCATTTAAATGTTCTTTATTTAAACATACTTTAAATATTAATTTCATATTTTCTTAGATTTTTTGGTATTTTTAATTTTTTTTTAATACTTTTTTGACCGCCCAGGACTTGCCTAGATAAGCCGAGTGAACCGCTTCTTGACAGGTAAAATTTGGCCCCCAACCTAGGTGCACTTGGGCACCCATCTAGATGAGTGCCCAGCATTGGGAGGATGCCTCCAAAGGGTTAGGCGAGTCAGCCTGGCTTAGGCGGGTAAAATTTGGTCCCTTAGCTTAGGCGGGCTTGGGCAGCCACCTAGGCGAGCACCCAATATTGGGAGGCCGCCCAGCGTCTAGGCGTGCCAAGGGGTTAGGGGAGTCACCCAAGCCCTAGGTGGGTAAAATTTGGCCCCCCAGCCTAGGCGTGCTTGGGCATCCGTCTAGGTGAGCACCCAACATTGGGAGGCCACTGAGCTCCCAGCTTTGGCAACTGCCCAAGACCTGTGCGCACAATGCCAGCTTGGACGTGCTTTGGCACCCGTTTAGGCGAGTGCCCAGCCTTGGGCTGCTACCCAAGAACTGTGCCCCACCTAAGGGGAAAAAAAAAGCATTTTTAGGTTGTTTTTATAAAAAAAGCATTTTTGGATAGTTTTATAAAAATAAGAGGGGAAAAATGCGTGGAAAAAGAGTATTTTTGGATTGTTTTATAAAAATAAGAGGAAAAAAAAATACACTTTATATTCATTTCAAACCTAAACCCCACTAAAACCCATTTTAGAACGAAATCATCCTCAAAACACTAGATATTATAACTTCCATAGGATCGAAAGATTTCTAAAAATTACTAAAAATCGATCTAAACATAACTCGTTAAGATTAGATTTGATTTTATAGGTCTATTACTATATCTTACATTACATTTTCCTATTTTTAGTTTTGACTGTACGGACCATTGAATGGATTATACTATGGACCGTGGATATAGTCTCTAATGATTTGAAGTTAAAAACTTCGAAATTTGGTCTTTTAATTTGAAATGCATGGAATTATGGATTAAAATATATCTCAATATGTATTTTTAAATTTTTTCAAGACAAAATGGGACCTTAAAACAACTTTTTATTCTACTAGCCCCCCAGGTTTTAAGTATCAGCCTAGACGCTGGGTGGCTTAGAGACCTTCCCGGCCAACTAAGTTCTAGGCACCCGCCTAAGCGCTGGCATCCTGGATCCTCCCGGGTAGCTAGGCATTGCCAGGCAGAATACTGCTCCCCACTAAACTCTTTCTAAAATAATTCAGCAGCGCAACATTTGTGTTAATAAATACTGAAGGTACATTTTCTTTCTAAAATACTTGTCACAAAATGTTTCCTAAAATATTATTCCAAGAAGATGTGCAACTAAAATGTCCAAAATACTGTACATTTTATGATTTTCCTTTAACAACATAAAGGATCAAGGCAATGATTCCTATACATGCATATATACCCTTATATGCGCCCCATTCTTTGCAAGTGTTCTTGGTGCTTTGCAGCTGCAGCCTTGTCTGCAGCTTCGCGCTTTTGGGCCCTCTTAGCACGCCTGCCATGCTCCTCTCTTGAGGCTGGTTTCTTTCCTTGAGCTCGTGAAGAACCACCAGCTTCTTGTCCATGAGATCTTGCTCTTTCAACAATAGGCATTGCTTCTTTGCGACCAGCTCGTACATAGCCCCCATCACCCCAACGCCTGTTTCCAATGCGAAGACCTGCCATATTGCCATAGAAAGCATCTTCGACATAGTCATCGACATCATCGTACTCATACTGATGTTCTTCCTGTTCTTCTATAGCCTCCTTTTGAGTCTCTAAAGTTACTGGTGTGTACCAAGGAGCCCTCAAGAGTAAACATACACTCTCCTCAAACATATAATCATGGATCCTAGAACCCCCAAATTTCAAGTAATCATATGGTTAGGAAATTATTTTCCTCTATGATTGCCAAATTTATTCTCAGCTCTAAACATAATTTAGGTTTTGGACTTGCTGGTTTACCTGCCATCAAGAGAACGATGAACGAGGAGAGAAAGGAAAGGATGCTTGCATTGGGGACAAGAAGGATTTGCATTGTACGAAGCCCATCTAAGGATGCATGTAGCACTTCAAAAAAAAAAAATTATTGCCATTTACTGTTAGCATCAAAGCCAAACTATAAGCACTCACGAGAAAATGCAAATATGCAACTATCTTGGAGAACCAAATCATGTTCACTCCGAAAAGAACATATGTCCATGGTGTAAGTCAACAGAGAGTAACGTAGACCACAACCATAGCAAAACCAGAATATATCATCCAATTGCCCAATTTCCCAAGTAATTTGGTTCCATCAAAATTTCAAAGTGCAAAAAATGCACATAGTTCCCTTCAAGACAATTGCAAATAAAATGGTATTAGTTTTTCGAGGGAACACTCTGACAAGAAGAGGAAGGGAATCAAAAGAAAAGAAAAAACCAATGTAATAACAAAGGTACCGTGTCAGGGGAAGTAGGAGGGAAAAAAGAGGCTAGAAATCAAAGAGAGTTAAAACGTTTCAATTTTGAGGGAACCACATTCCATAATAGAGAAATTCAGGCGAAGGAGAGGCGGCCCCACTGTTAAAAGAGGAGAGATACTCTTCAAGATTTTTTCTTTTCCTTTTTTGACACAGACATACTTACCCCACCTAATACTATAACAAAATTGTCTTAATTCCGTTGAAGATTCACAAAAAAAAAGAAAAAGGGACACTGAACATAAATTTGGAGAAGTAATGGCGATTTTCTTTCTCACACTTCAATAATTCGCAAAATATTTCTCATATTTTTCGAAACTTCTGAGGAATTTGAGCCAATGTTCTAAGTACTCAAAATTGAAGCGTATCATGCTGCCTTCATCACCTAGCTCCATTATTATCAATGGCAAAAAGACACATTCTTGGCCTAGCTCTACCATTTATCGCTGACCCAATTTACCATCTTTAGGCAGATCAAAGATCATAAATAGTTTTAGCACTTTTTTTGCAATTATGAAGCATTTGGCACACCTATAAAAAACCACATTGTTTCTATTTAAGATCTGTAATGAAGTAACATACAAAGAAAACATCATTGTAAGTGCTGTGAGATTGTTTAATATGAAGCAAGTTCCAAGCAAAAGGACAAAAGCATGCAAGTTATTACAATGTTCGACAATAATGTAAAATCAAGCCCCAGAAATTAAGTCTGTTATCTCATTGCGATGATTTGCAAGTTTATTACAAACTAATATCAGTTTGAATGTCATTGAAATTGTAACATGCAACTAAGAGATTTCTAAATAAGCAGCTGAGTGCCTAGCAATCTAGATCTATCTAAGAAGGAAAACTGCATAAATTCCCATGCAACATGGAATTGAATACATGAAACAATATGGGAAATGAAACTTCTCAGACAACCACAAAAAACATACAAGAAGGACAATTTCAAAGAGTCCTAAACACTAGATAGAACTTCACACACAAAATAATGACAGCATCTGAGAGTGCCAATCCAAAATGCAAGAAAAATAACATAAAGTATATGCACATGCCCACTGTAACTAAAGGGAATATTGCTTGAGGAAATATTGGGCCACAATCAAAATAAGACCAAGTATGTCTCGCAAAATTAACAAACAACACTTGGGAAGAAATGCAAGATAAAATAGTAAAATATGGCGGTCACAATGGGGGGACGATATCCTAACAAATCCGGAAAGGACTTGTAGAAGATAATGACACAAATTGGTGAGGAAGAAGTATTCTCACCTTCGAGCACCTCTGCAGAAAACCTTTTCGTAACTAGTTTTGCAAGTTTGAACTCTTAAAGGTGAAGTAGATGAAAACAACATTGGAGTCAAAAGAAGATTCCAAACCAAATGAAAAAGTCATTCACATAGAACCTAAAATGCAAAAAACTTTTTACATACCAGTAAGCATGCTCGCAACCTGTCACATGAGCAGTCTCCTCAAGTAATATTTTCTCCAAGCAAATAGCACAAAATCCATGATCAATTGCAGGTTCACAATAAGTGTCGTGTACTGTATCCTTCTGTTCACCACTGAGGGCCTGAATATGTGAACTAACGAATCAAATTCGACAAATAATGTCACCACAATAGCAGGACATTGTTAGAGCCAGCTAACAAAGCACTTTAACAGGTTAAATCCAGTCTGATAAACCAACAAAATGATTATGAGATTCTAACTACAAGAATAAACTGAGGTTTTGTATTGCAAAATAGCACTTACACAAAACAAATTCATGCAGATAGTTTTCTCCCATAAGAATAAAAAACACAACTCCCAAACATTATATCACTTGGGTATTCATGTGAGACGTATAAAGCCTTAATAAGTGTATGCGACATATAAATGAAACTAATCAAATGAAGAAGCAATGAGCATTTTCACCAAGAAATAGTGCAGAAACTGATATAAATGACATTTTGGTAAGACAAAGGCATTGAGACAGGCTGAAGGCACTGTTCATAATATCAAGAATTCCTCAAATGCATCATCTTGGGTAGATTTCCATAATTCTTTTTTTCTCAATAAATTCTTGGAAAAACTCCTGAGAAATCATATAATAAATAAAGTTAGATACAAAGAAAAAGTTACAAAATAGTAAACAAAAAGATAAATGGACAATGTCAAAATTTATCCCTTATTTTCACCTTATTTTTAGATTTTTTGAATGGCTTATTTATTTTCATAGATAGTTCTGGGGAAAAAAAAAAAACAGAACCTATAGAAAGCACTGGATGTAGAGGTATTTCAGTAACCCTTTCGGCACACACGGCGCAAAGTACAATCTGAGGCTGGTTCACTCGCTCTGGGGACTCCCTACCTCCAACCATTCATCTCCAATCCAGACATCACTCATCTATGTATGGTAAAAAGTTTGGTCCTTGATACCATCTCCCAAACCATTTTGTACTTATCCTATCCTCTCAATGGAGATATCCTCTCAATGGAGAGACATTTTTTGTAAACATTTCTGTAACCAAATATTCTCAATGGTTTCTCCACACAGACCAAGGGTAAATTTTTGGAACTCAATACAATTCCAGATATTTATCAAAAAAGATTTAAAGCATTAATATATTTTCTTAAATACCAAAAAGAAAAGAATGAATATGGCATCTAACAAAGTAATGATATTAGGTATTAAGAATCTCTATACTATACATGCCTCATACATAAGTATGACTGTATATTCACAAATCCAAAAAACATATTATTTGAAACAATTTAAGTTTTATTGTATATTCACAAATCCAAAAAACATATTATTGTATATTCACAAATCCAAAAAATCATACATAAGTATCATTGTATATTCACAAATCCAAAAAATCATACATAAGTATTATTGCATATTCACAAATCCAAAAAACATATTATTTGAAAACAATTTAACTTTTATTGTCTTTGACACAAAGAATATTGATACTACTCCATCAGCGTGCTACTTTTCATCCCGAGGGTGAAAAAGCCCAAGCATGTGCTAACACTTTCCCACCTAACCAGATTTAGACTGCTATGTTATTGCAGGATTATGAAGTATATTACAAACAAAAACCTAGTAACTAATCACATTTATGTAAGTTACATCACTGAATACATTTTATAATTTACATAAATCCACTAAGCTTCAGCCTTTAATGATCAATACCAAAACAACCAGAAAATCCATTTCTTCTTTTAATATTGTTTACTATTTATCAAATAAAAATATAAACCACATCAACAATGATTCTAACTTAGCAAGAAAATTGAAAAATTAGTCAGATGGAAACAATCAAGTCTTCAACACATAAAATCAAAAAAATATTCTTCGGTGCAAACCCTCATCAAGAGCCAAGAAAAATATCATGTTTATTGATCTTCCAGCAGAGGTACCAAATAACCAGCTACCTCGTCTTTTAATAAAGCAAACATAACTGGAAAAACATAACCATGGAAAATGCTGATCCATTCACAAGTGAACATTCATTGTTTATGGATCAATAGACCATCAAAATGCACTATGCCCAATCCATCATTACAGTGTGGCCATCCCAGTTTCCTGTTGTGAAAACCGAAATTTAGGATTACAAAAATACAACTGTCAAGCACAACCCACAGTACAACTTTTCATTGAAATTCAACCAAAATGATGAAAGAAACAGATGAACATTCACAAGCATCGGCCTTTCCTTCAGAATCATGTCATGTTCTCTGTTCTAGAGAGAGAAAACCTCAAAGATTCAAGTCATTTCCAAAATCTTAGAACCAGAATCCTCCTCTATCTTATAAGTGATTCTTGGAGAAAAATGATTAAAAAGCAATTTCTAAGAGAAATTCCACGGACTAAATGCTTTTCTCAAGAAATTCGCGTCATTATCTCTATCGACTTAGTATTCTTTTGCTACACGGCCAAATCATGTTAAAACAAAGGAAACCAAGCTTTTAAGACCGGGATCATCGAAGAAATTTTTCTTATGTGATAAAGAACCAAATTTTATGGTCTAGACATAAACAAATTCTACATCTATTGCTAAACATTCACTTCAGGCAATAACATGCTGAAGATCTATTGATCATAGAAATGAATGAATTATGAGATCTATTACAAAGGTTTCTTCCGAAAAAAAGGTCATATCTTTAGAAACTCAAACAAACTGAGTCTGCATATGGATACTTCAAAAGAAAACTGCCATAAAATGTAATAAGGAAATGATGAGTAAAAGGCAAACATTCTACAGATCCTGATCATAATTTCCAAATTCAAAATGATATCAAAGATAACAGCTCATCCCAATAATCAAGCAAACACAAGGAAAAACATTTCAATAATGAAAAAGTAAAATCAAACATCACAAAGCCCTGCAATCTCAACAATTACAAAGGGAGATAGAAAGAGAGAAAGGTACCTTATCATTTTTACAGAAAAAGAAAAAGAAAAAAAAAGAAGATGAAAGCTCTTGAGAAAGGTACCTTATCTTCCATAAAATATTTAGGGCAAGGTTGGAGAAAGCCCAGAGAAGAAGCTCTAGTGCACAGACGACCTTTCAGGGCAAGTTGCAGAGGAGGCGCAAATCAAGTGCAGAGGAAGGTCCCTCTAGACCTAAGCGCGAGGTGCAGTTAGGGATGGCGGTTGAATGTGTCGATGAGGATGAAGACCCCCCATCAACGGTTGAAAAAGCCTCTCTCTCTCTAAACCCCCCTTCTCTCTCTCTTATATGTGGTCGCCTTGTCTCTGTAATTTATTGCCACTCAGCTCTCTCTCTCTCTCTCAAGCCCACTCCGCCCCTCAATTCCCTTCTCTCTCTAAAACATGTCCAAATGCCCCTTCTCTCTCTAAAGTCTAAACTAATAAAGAGGGGGTATATATTCTCATGGATTCGAACAGCTGGAAGCATATGCTTCCCTCCAACTAAATATGGAACAGTGTTGCGTTAGTCGGGGAACGCACGCGGTCCCCTGACCATTTAACCTTCCTTTTTACAAAGGTAAAAGGTTTATATATAGCCTCAGACTCTACACAATCAAATTAGAGCCACTTCAAAAATTCACTAGAAAAAGTTGTTTTGATGTCCAAATATCCTCAAATTGATTATCTCGACAGCGAGATGCATGGATGTGAAAAAAAATAGATTTTAAGTTTTGAAAATAGTGCATCTTGTAATGTATTTTTTTACCATCAAATTTCAATATTTTCAAGCTTTAATATATGTGCTCGATCTGTATTGTTTTTTAATCTTTGAATTTTATAATTCAAGATGAAAATATATTTTAATACTATCAAAAAATTTTCAGTATTGAAATCATATTTCTCGATACTATTTGAAAGTGTGTTTTACTTTGATTGTTTAGAGCTTCGGCTCTACATAAACTGCACCCTTTAAATATTAATCATTGAAATGTGGTTCGTATAAGGCTGCAGCCTAACCAATCGATATAAGGTGTACCTTTAAAAAATATCAAAAGATGTTTCAGTATTGGAAATCTTTGTGATAGCCTCAAAATTTATTTTCATATGTGATTATAAAATTTAAAGCTTAAAAATATTATAGATCGAGCTGATTTATGAATTTTAAAAAATCTTGAAAATTGACGGTCAACATTATATATAGTACAAGATGTATTATTTCCACTACTTGAAATCGATTTTTTCTCATATTCATACATCTTGAAGTCGAGATGATCGAATTGAAGGTTTTTCAGCATCGAAACAATCTTTTCTAGTGAATTTTGGATATGCACCTTAATTTGATAGTTTATGGCCACACCCTTATATAGACTTTTTCTTTTGTATAAAGCATATTGCTTGTACTGTAGAAGCAATGTGCACCTTATAATCTTTTATGGAACTGTATTTCCCGTATTGAAGACCTTATGATAGCTTGAAAATATATTTTTATTCTTATTTAAGAAATTTATAATTTCAAAAATATACAATGGAGTAGATTTATAGACACTTGAAAATTTTGAAAATAGATAGTTCGAATAATTTGTAGCAGAATGTATTATTTTTATGACTTGAAATTTTTATTTTTCAAATTCATACATCTTGAAATTGAGATGACCAAATTGGAGGACTTTCCAAATTTAAAAAATATACAATAGAGTAGATTTATAAACACTTGAAAATCTAAAAAATAGATAATTTGCAATAGAATGTACTATTTTTAGGACTTAAAATTTTTATTTCTTCGGATGACCAAATTGGAGGACATTCCAACGTACCACTCTTAGATGTATGGATGTAAGAGTGTATGGATCCCTAAAATTTAAATCCCTATGTTAAATCGATTTAATGGGCAAGACGCACAGCCATATGGGTCATAAAAACCTTACCCAGTAAAGAAAAGCGGTTTTGCATTACCACAGGGTAAAATATCCTTTAGAAGATTGACTTATTATTATAGAAGTAAAGTGCACCTCAAAAAAAATCCAATAAAAAGGGGATTTTATTACCGTGGGAATATTCTCTCCATGATAGAACTTTCCTCGTGAATCACCACTTCTCCATGTTTGTTTCAGGGGAAAGTGGGGGGTGCAACGATAAAACAAAGCATTCTACCAATGCAAATCAATTTCATCAAAAAACACGTTCATGCCTGAACCGGTATAAAGAAAAACTCTCATCCAGAGAGAATTTCTCATGGGAAAACTCTCATCCAGAGAGAATTTCTCATGGGAAAACTCTCATCCAGAGAGAATTTCCAAATAAAGAAAAAAGTTTAAGCCTTGTAGAAACCTCATCCTTAAATATATATATATATATAAAAATGAATAAAATATCGCTCAAAATTTATGGGTATGTTAGTCATTTGAGAGAGAGAGACGTGAAGGGGTACACCCTCCTCACGGGAGTCCCTTTTTTTCATAAAGCAGCTTTATACCCCTCTCACTTTTGGTCCCAAAGTATGAGACATCAGTTTCTTCATTTATGGCTCCTGCTCTTTTCTCACAAAACAAATGTGGGAAAATGACTATTCTTGAAGAAACAATTTAAGAGCTTAAATTTCATGGGAGGTGTGGCTTCAAAGGAATGGACACATTTTCGAATGAATGTGTCTAGAGATAGCTCGAGTCCAGGAGAAGATCATTCAAATTGTGTGGTTCTCGTTATCCAATGCTAAAGAAAGTTTTGGTGCATCAATTATGGCAAAAGTTTATATAAGGATGCTACCTTATAATGTAGAACTACGGATTCTCCTCAAAAATCCATCGAAAAAGGAACTTTTAATGTTGAAAATCCCTTTGATTGATCATCTCGACAACTAGATGTATGACTATGAAAAATAAAAAGATTTTAAGTCTAAAAAATAGTGCATTTTACAACATATTATCTACACCGTCCATTTTCAAGATTTTCATATGTTTATAGATCTACTTTATTTTAACTTTTTTTTAAAATTTAAAATTTTATAATTAGATATAAAAATAGATTTTGAGGTAATCCTAAGAACGTTTTATATCAAAATTATATACCATGATAAAATTTGAAGTTGCACCTTACCTCTACACTTACGAATGCATCTGTATGCAAATTGTACCCATCAATGATTGATATACTCCACAATATTAAGGATTTTATGTAACAGAAGGTGTATGGACCAATAATCCATAGAACTTGGCTTCCTCCTACTAGCAGGTGTGTGAAGCTAAATTTTAATGGCAGCTCCTACAGGAACCCAAGGCCAGCACGTTATGGTGGTGTGGTGCGAGACCCATCTCGCATGGAGATTTTCTTCTACTGCGGCTCATGTGGGACAGTTATAGCCAACCAAGCTAATTATTGGCTGCATTACAGGGGCTTAAAAATGTTGAAGATCGTTGTTCGACTTTGGGCTGGTTGATGGAAAGGATTCTCTAAATGTCATTAATTAGTGTTTTGGGTTTAGTAAGCTACTGTGGAGTTTAAGGAAGTTTTAGTTTCAAGTCATGGACTTATGTCAGAATCAGGTGGTTGCTTTCAACCATGTTTATAGGGCGGCTAATAAGAGAGCTGACTTTCTTGCAAAAGAAGGGGTTCAGGCTAATTGTTTGTTCATTTCTTCTTTATCTATGTAACCTTGGTGTTGTTTACTGAATAATAAAATTACATGCACTTGTCAAAAATAACATAAATTCAAAGACTGGTTTCCTATGAAACATATATTCCATAAAAAATTTCTCAAATAGATTTTAAGGAATTATATACAATATGATTACCTTTGATACAAGGTCACAATTACTTATAACTATTAGATATGAAATCTAATAGTTTGACCGTGTCACAAAGTTTTAGAGAATTTTTTTTGAACTTTGAACTTAGTCAATTAAATAAATTTAACCACCCAATGTCACATCCAATGGTCGAAGATTATTTGTGAGGAAATGTGCAATGGTGACCCTAAATTAGTTAGTTTTCCACCTAAAGCTTTCCTCGGTAACAATTGGTTGTATGACCGCACCACATTGGAATAAGAAATAGATCTTTCCATTTTTTAAATTTAGAAACTAGAGATTTGTGTACTCGGTATATGGTTAAATTGTAGCATAATCATGGGAGTTCTAGAAAACTATGATTTATTTAACATGGCATTTTGTATTTTAGGAGATTAAAAAATTAGCTCGCTTTAAACATCAATTAAAGATTTCATTAATGGGAAGTAAAACATTTATCAAATGCATGAAATTTCGACATCATAACTCATTCATAAGACGCAAACAAAATGGACGGTCTAGATCACATAAAGATACTATTGTTCACCATTAAAAACTTGGCATGTTTTAGCATTCCATTTTGTGTGTGTGGATTGGATTGAGCTAAAACTTCTTAGGCATTTTTACTTCTCACCTTTATGCACATATAAAACGTCAAACAAATATTTTCAAAAATAAAAGAAAAATTTATCAAAATACATATACTTTCCAACAGTTTAATAGTTTACTATTTTAACTCATGATCATATGTATTTTAATATTTATTCTAAAATTAAATCAAAAGATATGAATAAATTGTTAAATAGTTGATATCTTGCATGTATTTTGATGAATTTTTCAAAATAAAATAACTAAAACACCTTGAAAACTATAAGGGTTAATTTGGTTATTTTATTTCATTCAAATTATGTTTTTTATATTTTTAAAGATGTACCACAATGATGAACACACAACCTAAAAATTTTACTTCGTCGTGATGTAGTAAAAAAATAAAAATGAATAAAGATGGATCAAATACTTCTACTGTGACAAAATAATCTACATTATAAAACTCCTAATATCTATCAATCTCAATTGTTTGATCGTGATTGGATGAATGAAGGCATATACAAACATTTAAAATTTATTTATTTTCTAAGCATTAGATTGAGCTAAAGTCGTCAGTGTCCATACTTATCACCCGCGGACTTCAAGTTATATAAACTGTCTTAGAAGGAGATGTCTTTTTTTGCACAGTAACAAGTTATAGAATCTGTCTAAGAGGAACATGTATTTCTATTATAGTTTTGTCAACCATTTTTTTTTTTTGAAAGAATTAGGAAGGGTTAGGCGACAAAAGATGAACTTGAACTTGAAAAAGCTTACAATGACACACTATAAGAATTTATATTCTACTACTTGTGCGTGCATATATATATTTTTATTTTTGTAATTTTATAATTATATTATAAAACTATATAAATATAAAATGAGTAATGATCCCTTTCACACCCAAGGATTACCATTAAATTTGGCACAGATTGCTAGAAAAGTCAAGTCCCATACCCATGTGATAACTTTTCTAGAGATTTGTACCAAATTTAATAGTGATCCTTTGAAATCCTACATATATGGGTGTAGGAGCGTCTCATAGGATCATTACTCATATAAAATTATAGAATAAAAATATAAAGTAGGATAAAAATAGACCTTAAGCCCGTCCCCCCTCTCACAGTAAGTTGCACCTTCAAATAGTATCAAAAGATATTGTTTCAATACTGAAAATCTTTTTTATGGCTTGAAAATTTATTTTCATCTCTAATTATAAAATTTAAAACTTAAAAAATAGTGTAGCTCGAACAAATCTATGAACACTTGAAAAACTTAAAACTTGAGAATCTAAAATATGCATTACACGATGTATTATTTCCAAAGCTTGAAATCCATTTTCTCTCATATCTATACATATTGAGGTTGAGATGATAAATGTGATAACTTGTAGGCATCGAAACTTCTTTTAGTGAATTTTTTGGAGTGTGCCTTAATATAATTGTTTAGGTAGGGCCTTGCCCTTATATAAACTTTTGCCCTTTTTTATTCACACTGATTTTTTTTTTTTTAATATTTTCCCTTTTCCTTGTGGTGGATTTTTTGGATAAAAATACCCCTCTAAATGAAACACCTAAAGTTTTAAGTTCAAGGAATTTTCGACCCTAAGGAAAGTTCTTAAAGTCTCGGTGTCGGGCCCTCCAAGGGTCAAACAAGCCTTAAGCTTAAACTTTTTTAGTACTTGATTGAGAATAGTATTTTCATCCAAACAGACTTTTAAAAACTTTATCCAAGCGGATCGGTGAAAAATAAAATAAAATAAAATTAAAGTTTATGGCATAAATAAAAAAGCAGCCGGTATATTTGTAGAAAATTGAAAGATGAGATACTTAAGTTTCTTCCCATAGAAATTTTGAAATATAAAATTAAAAGTTCAAATTAAGGATAAAAGAAAAAATATTGAAATTTGATTATTTTATTTTATTAGAATTAAGGATAAAGGACAAAATATTGAAATTTGAATTAATTTATTTTATTAGAATTTATATTTTTTACATATGTGGCGCAACAAGGCACAGTCCCTTCACATTTTATCTTGATTTTATTTTAGGAAAATAGAAAAAGACTGACGGTATGATGAACATTTTCAAAATGAAAAAAGAGTACAAAAAGGAGAACTCCGCTTTTCTCTTGTTTTTTTTTTTTTTTGGGAATTAGGTACTCCATTGAGAGGGATTGGAGGTATGGAACTCCATAATCATCAAAATTAAGAATTTCGAGTTACCAAGTTCCTTTTTGATTGTAGCAAATTAGCAGTCCTTGTTCCAAGTATACTTAGTCTTTCTAGAAGTTTCCAATTCTGGAACTCCAAATTTGTGCTTGACAAAAAACCCCCTCGATCTTTATCCTATCTCCAGATATTTTATCATCCCATCATCCGGTCCACACTCCATCAAATATGGAAATCTCTCTCTCTCTCTCTCTCTCTCTCTCTCTCTCTCTCTCTCTCTCTTCATCAAATATGGAAATCAATCTCCTCTCTCTCTCTCTCCATCAAATATGGAAATCAATCTCTCTCTCTCTCTCTCTCTCTCTCCCTCTCTGTTATTCTATATCTGTATTTGTAATCCAGCTTACATCTCTCTCTGTCTCTCTCAACGCACTGCCAATCTCAAATTGCATGCATACACAGTTGGGTCGTTTTAAATGATGACTTCAATAGCAATCAACAAACCATATCACTCTCCTCTCTTCCTTATCCCTTCATTCCACAACCACCATACCCCAACTTCCAAATCCATACCCACTCTCAAACTAGCACCACAATCACCCTCCATTTCCCTGCAAAAACCCACCAATTTAGAAGAGATCAGGCAACTACAAGCTCATATTCTTCGAACCCATTTGCCAAAATGCAATTCCTTTGAACCCCATAATCCAAACATTGCATCTCTCTGGAACTCCATTATCACTGGCTACACAAAAAACAATCGACCCGATAAAGCCATCAATGTTTACCATGTCATGAGATCAACAAACCTCAGTTTAGACACATTCACCCTCCCCTCGATCTTTAAAGCTTGTGCCTATCTATCTGCAATTCAACAAGGGAAAGAAATCCATGGATTCATCCTAAAAACTGGCTTAAATTGGGATATTTTTGTTCAAAATTCACTCGTAAACATGTACTCTGAATGTGGGTTTGTGGAATATGCAAGGGAAGTGTTTGATGAGATGATAGAGAGAGATGTGGTCTCATGGAGCACAATGATCGGTTGCTATGGTCATAACCGGTGTTTCTCGGAAGCTATAGATCTTCTCAAAGAGATGCAGGCATCAGAGATGAAGCCTAGTGAGATAACACTGATCAATTTGATCAATCTCTTTGCTGATATGAGAGTTTTGAAGATTGGAAAACAAATTCATGGTTATGTGCTTAGAAATGCCAGTTCTCAAATGCATAGCCTTCCATTAAACTCTGCTCTGATAGATATGTATGTCAAATGCAAGAATCTAAAGTCTGCCAGAAACCAATTTGGTGGTATGACACAACGAAGCATAGTTTCATGGACCATCATGATGGTGGGTTATGTGGGATGTGGGGATTTAGAGGAATCTGTGAAACTCTTCAATGAAATGAAGGAAGAGAAAGTCGAACCCAATGAAATCACGATGCTAAGTCTGCTTTTAGAGTGCGGGAACATGGGGGCCTTAGAAATGGGCAAATGGGTCCATGTCTATTTAATCAAGAATGGGTTTGAGATGTCTGTTTCTTTAGTGACTGCCCTATTGGATATGTATGGGAAGTGTGAAGAAACAGAGAGTGCGAGAAGCTTGTTTGATACCATGCCTCGAAGGGATGTCATGGCATGGACTGCGATGATTTCTAGCTATGCAAATGCAAAATGCATGGATCAAGCAGTCCAACTCTTCAGCAAGATGCAAGATCATAAAATGAAGCCTAATCAAGTAACAATGGTTAATTTACTCATGGTTTGTGCTAGCTTAGGAGCCCTTGATACAGGCAAATGGATCCATCTTTACATTGAGAAACTTGGGGTAAAACCAGAAGATGATGTTGTTCTAGCAACCGCTTTGGTTGACATGTATGCGAAGAGTGGGGACATAGAAAGGGCCCAGCAAGTGTTTACCAGAGTCCCCAACAAGGATATATGCATGTGGAATGCCATGATCAGTGGTCTAGCCATGCATGGCCATGCAAAGGAAGCAATCTCTCTCTTCTCAAAAATGGAAGCTGAGAGAATCAAACCCAATGACGTCACATTTGTGGGGGTCTTGCATGCATGTGGTCATTCGGGGAAGGTGGATGCTGGACGCATGCTTTTTGAACGTATGGTTCATGAGTTTGGCATCATGCCAAAAGTTGAACACTATGGATGTATGGTGGATCTTCTTGGGCGAGCTGGCATGCTAGATGATGCTCATGACATGATAAATGGGATGCCCATGAAGCCCAATACCATAGTATGGGGCTCTCTATTAGCCGCGTGTAAACTCCACAATAATCTTGGTTTAGGAGAGATGGTGGCTAAGGAGCTTCTTGAACTAGAGCCTAATAATTGTGGTTATCATGTGCTATTGTCTAATATATATGCCAAATCAAATAGATGGGATGATGTTGCGGGAGTGAGAAAATTGATGAGAAAGAAAGGAATAAAGAAGGAGCCAGGGTTTAGTTCTATAGAGGTGAATGGTTCCATTCATGAGTTTGTAATGGGGGATAAATCACACCCCCAAACAGAGGAGATACATGGAATGCTAGATGAAATGAGCAATCGATTGAAAGAGGCAGGCCATGTAGCCAACACTTCAGTGGTACTGTTAAATATAGAAGAAGAAGAGAGAGAAACGACACTTACTTATCATACTGAGAAGTTGGCCATAGCTTTTGGGCTTATCAGCACAGCTCCATGCACTCCAATTCGGATTGTGAAGAACCTTCGAGTGTGTGATGACTGCCACTCCGCAACTAAGCTTATATCAAAGATTTACGGTAGAGAAATTATTGTTAGGGACCGAAACCGCTATCATCATTTCAAAGAAGGATCCTGTTCCTGTAGGGATTATTGGTAACGGAAAATTTAATCTTTATTTATTGGTTCTCCCCAAAATTAATGTTTATATAAAAAACCCAGCTCAAGACAAAGTTAACAGCTGCAGTAACAGAAAACTCAAAGAGAATCTCTCTCTCTCTCTCTCTCTCTCTCTCTCTCTATCACACACACATCTACCCCTTGGGACCGACATGTTCCTTTGCGTGTGTGCATGTGTAACAAGAAATATGGACTTGGGCATGATTGGGGCACCAATGCATTAATTTGTCCAAATAAATTACATCTGAGCATGTAATGCTCGACTTACAGCATTTCAAATCCCCAAATTGTACAAGATAAGATCAAGCTCATCCATAGGGATAAAAAGGAAAAACAAAGATGGGTCATCAGATTAACTGGTTGACAAAGGAGCAGCTAATTTTCATTCCTTTTTGTTTTTTTTTAGAGTTTGCGTCTGGTTTATCTCACCCTAGTTTGAATTTACAAATCGATGGGACGATCAACCTAGCCATTGTTGAGCACGACGATCGCCCCCACCTCCCACTGCATGTCGAATGCTAATCTTTTCATTGGAATACTTCTCTTGCAGCCACTCAAAAGCATTCATGTCGAGTTTTCCCGTTGTAGATTTACCCTGCTTTCTTCGTGTCTGCTTTTCTCGAATAGAAGCCCATAACTTCTCAATTGCATCTCTTTGTCGGGCTGTGAATCTCTGTACGTTGTCAAAGGCGTGCTTTACTAAGATATCTATGACAGTTTGTGCCCTGAGAAATGCCAGTTAGGAAAACCCAATGAGTGGCAGGTGAAAAATCCCAGAAGCAATAATAACAAAAGTAAATGCTTAGAACCCAGTCAAATTTTCATATGTAGTTTAGATTGGAATGTGGTTGAAAGTGAGCTGGGTAAACTGATTAAAAACTATAACCGATCAGAACAGTAAATATCCATATATAAGCCACAGTTCCTGAGCTCTTGATAGACTGTATGTGTTCTAAATATTGGATATTAATTCTTGTAGTTCTTACCAAAAGTAGGATATCCTTTTAGAAAATTTTGTAGATAAAATTTTGCCAAATTTCAGTGAAAATTTGTTTAAAATACTGAAATTTGGCCATTTTCGCCTTCCATAAAATATGTGCAGAGGAAGTTTTTGTCAGAAATCAGTCCAAAATTGAACAGTTTGACCTCACACTAATGCCTCACCATGGAAGATTATAACGTCGTGCAGCAATTTCCAAACATGATATCAGGGCTTCTCTTGTCGATTTCAACGACCTCTTAAGTTCCTCTTCTTCAACTGATCTCTTTGCTGCTGCGTCTTTCTTTCCTCTTGCCTTCTCATCTTTCTTTGACAAACTTGGGAGCAGTGCATCTAATCCAAAAGGATCAAATTCATCTTGTTTACGTGGGGATGAAACCATTGATGACCCATTTTCCAAATGCTCATCCCATTCCCTGTTGCCAGGTTTTGCCAAGGCTATAGCTTCCTCCATGTCATCATCCTCACTAGCATTAGGAAGGCTTGATATAGCTTCTCTCACACGTGCCGCTGCCTTTGAAAACTGAAAACCAGATAGAACATCCAAACCATTGATTATGTAAGACATCAAGTAGACACTGCTCTGACAAAATAATAAAGAAGAGCAAACAATGGAAGAAAAGTGGCTAGGCTATCTAATGGGCTGCTTTTTAAAAAACTTATTGGTTGCTTAATTAGAAAAATATAAAGGAGAAAATGTATAAAAATATAAAATACAAGGTGGCATGCAAGGTTTATCCTTAAGCTGGGGTATAACCTGGGTCTGATGATAAACTCCAGCTGGGGAGCCCCTCTTTGTCTAAAGGCCTCAACAGCTGCATTAGACAAACTAAGACATGACAAAATAGAAAAATAAAATGCATAGGAAAGGATATCAATCTTGAAAGATTCCACCCCTAAAGCCTCTAGCAGTATAGAACAACCACAAATGAGTCAAGCTAGCGCAAATTGAGAAATTTGGAAGTCAGCTTTGAATTTTTTTGTTTTTCAACAACAGGATTAAAAAATGAGATCAAATCTAAAAAGGTAAATACATACCACTGCAAAACCCCAAGACAAGTTTTGGTAACATTTATGTACATTTAATTTAAATTTTAAGGGAAATTTATGGATAAATCCTCTTCAAAGATCTATATTTTAGAAAAGGATGGCCTATTTTACATTTTCTGCAAAGGTCCCACTTTTCATCATTTTTTAATCCCCAACTTACCCCTGGTTCAAATATCAAATGTCCGAACTAAGGTAATTTTTTCGAAGTGGGAGACGATCTTTTTTCTTATTGAACACAAGATGGATTTAGACATTTTTTTTTCTTTTAAGTATGCAAATACAGACATTTGGGTTTTACCTGCCCACCTAAGATTTTTTAAGTGGGAGACGGATCGATACCTAATGTCTTAACTGTCTCCCATTAAAAAAATAACTTAAGTGGGACATTGGGCATTTGGACTTGCTCACTTGTGATTTTTTTAAATGCGAGATGGGTTCAAACCAGTATTATTACATTTGTTTTGTTTCGGGTAAAGCACCCGAAGTCTTCAGGTTTTCCCCAAGCATAGCAAAAATCACCGATGTTTCACCACCAAATTTCACTGCTCAAAACAAAATTCGAGCATAGAGTAAGAAAGAACACAGCCTCAAGTCTATCGAATATGAGGCACGTGTTAAACCAAGACCATTGCTCACGTGGTTGCATCCCTCTCAATTCGTCATCCTCTGCCATAAGTACCACCTTGCCCTGTATCTTTTCTTTTTAAAATTTTACTATTATCCTTTACTTTTATTAAAAAATAAAAAAAAGTTGATTACTAAGCCACCATTGCTCAGGTGGCTGCATCCCTCTCAATTCGTCATCCTCTGCCATAAGTACCACCTTGCCCTTACCCTGCATCTTTCCCTTTTTAAAGTCCACCATTGTCGTGTACTTTTATTAAAATAAAAAAAGTTGATTACTAGGCCACCTCTTCATCATGTGAAAGGACGGTTATGTCCTCCCTCGATAAAATAAATTGAATGGCTCTTTTCTTTGGATATTTTATTTTATTTTATTTTAATAATTTTATATATAAAGGTATATTTTATTTATATTAAATTAAAAAAAATAAATCCGAAATCTTCTTCCGAATTGACCGATGCATCGAATTGCTTCATTTTTCTGGCCAAACCGAAGGAGGCTCTGAAACGAATCTGACAACATTCATTCAAACATAAGGTATCCAAACTAGCACACTTACAAAAACAAATAAAGTGGAGCAGTTCAGATACACAATGTCCAAACTTGTCTCCCACTTAAAAAAACAAATATCTTGGTTCCGACAGCTGGTGTCCAAAACAGAGGTATTGTCGGAGAGAAAAAATGATGAAAAAGTGAAACTTTTGATCGAAGGGATTTATCTATGTTTTCCCGAGTTTTAAATACTACAAGACTTAGAGAAACCCAAGTACTTAATAATAAAAGTTGGGGATCCAGGGAGTTAAGTTGACATGTATAAGTCGCAAGTTTCTAATACTAGATAGACAAATTAGCATCCATACAAAAAGAAAAGGTAGGTCCATAAGACCGACGGATTAAACACCTCGGTAGCAAGAGCTCTTGATCTAGCAAGGTTCTAGTGAAACGTAGTAGTGAGCACCACATATTTCGCTTGCTGAGCTGAGAAGATGAAAGCCTAAGGATTTGATAGGTCCGATATGAAATGCCTTTAGATAGTGCAGGCCAAATGGCATTGACACTTTCGCAAAAAAAACGGACAATCAAGTGGGTGAGCATCTCGGACGAAAAGTATGGGAGGGATATCAATAAGGCAAATGATTAAATTATTAAGAAGATCATACAAGGTACCAGGGTTTTGGAGACAGATATGACTCTCTGAGGGGAATAGACTTGGAGGAGATTTTGTGTTCTTGGCGTACACAAAACAATCTGCCAAAATTCATGTTGTGGCCTTGTTTTTGGATTATTATCAATTAAAATCGAGGGATTTTGTATATAATACATATAGTCAGTATATTATACTCTATATTTCATTTAAAACGCTAGATTTGGAGCTCGATTTTGAGCTATGAGGGCATCGGCTTGATTTTGTAGATCGGTTTTGAAAAATTCCGCCATCCTGCCGATTGTTGGTTCGCTTTTGGTTTTTTTTCAATAAAAATCTAGGGATTTTGTAGATGATGGAGTTAGTCACGAGATTCAAGTCATAATTTCATTAAAAATCCGAGATTTGGAGCTCGATTTTGCGAGATTAGGGCATCAACTCAGTTTTTTAGAACTGAATTGAAAAAATCCGCTATACTTCAGATCATTGATTCGATTTTGTTTTTTTTCAATAAAAATATAGGGATTTTGTAGATCAAGGAGTTAAGTCACAAGATTCAAGTCCTACTTTGATTGAAAATATGAGATTTGGTGATAGATTTTGAGAGATTAGAGCATCTACTCGGTTTTTCCAAAGTGAGCTAAAAATCAACCGTGAATTGCTCGATTTTGTGCTCAATTTGGTGATCGATTTTTATAGCTGAGATCACGTGTATGAATTTCATGTGACTTTTTATTTAGTTTTTTTTTAATATGATATTTTAGTAGCTCTAAGCATTTGTTTACCACTTTATTTTGCTACAAAATTAATTATTTTGCTCAAGCATTGTTCAATTAGCATAATAGAAAAATCACTTAGTTACTTGAATTCGAAACTGGTGGCTTTTTATGGTACTTCGTATAAGTTTTGAAAGATTTAACACAAGTCATCAGTGTGAAGAATTAACACACTCAGTATTTGATATTTTACTCAAAAGATTTTTTCTTTTTTGTTCTTTATTAACTTGTGGTTCTAAGTTATAAGAGACTTGACCTCTGTAACGATATGCGAAAAGATATAAAACGTGGTGAACGTTTGGTAGACGCTGTGATGTTTATATCCTTTATGGAGAACGAATAATTGAAGGTTTGAACTCATGTTCTATATCATTATACACATATTTTAAAACTGCTAATGGGAAAGTATTTGTCTTTTATTTTCATCGTATGTTCATCGAATTAAGACTGCTAATGGGATAGTATTTGTTTCAATTTTTTTCTTAAGATAAATGAAGGTAATTAGATAATAGACACTAAATCTATGTTTTGGTCCTTTTTTTTATTTTATTGTTTGGAGTTTTCGACCCATTTTTTTTAAAAAAATTCTACCGGACCGGTTAGTCCGATTAACCGCCCGGTTAGTCCTGTTCCGGTTCTAACCGTTCCACGCCTCATGTCCGGTTAACCGTTCTGGTTCGATTTTGCGAATGTTGAGTAGACCCCAACTAATTAGGTGAAGCTTAGTATAGGAACCACTGTTGGAAGAGTTCGTAAGACGAACTTCAACAAAAGGTAATTTGGAAATTTGGATCCATATCCAGTGGTAGTATAGTCAGAAAAAGTTGGGGAGAATGATAGAAGAGAATGAAGCCCCTGGGTAGCAGAGAATTATATAAGTGGAGCTAAGAACGAAGATGCCCTAAGAGTAATTCTAACTTTGAGAATGGCCGGGTGTATGCAAAAATGTATCTCGCTTTGCGTTTTGCTCTGTATTATGCCATCTTAAAATGCAACTTTAAAACACCCTTGAAAAAGCTTGTGATGTCACAATACAGCCAACAGCAGAAGATTCATAAATCTAGTTGAAAGGAAGATGGCACACATAAACTCGAAAGATTCCTGTGGCTAAAGTTTATATATGATGGCTAGGGTTCCTTCTCTCCTATCCTTGATAATGAGTGGACCATAAACCTTCTCAATGGGAAGGTTTATGCACCGTAAGGTACTAGTGTCGATACAATCCGATACTAGTACTGGTATAGAATACTTGGGGGATATGGTTCGACCATACACAATTTGTTACTCGAATTTTATCAACATTTTGAAGCCCTACATTAAAAAGTGATATATTATCTACGAAACAACCTAGCTAATAGTAAGGATGCTGTGAAATGTGTTAAAATATTATAATACGAATGTAAGTCATATTTTCCTCATCCTAGGGTAAGGGTAACATGCAAGAGGGAAATCAGCAGGACCAGCAAGAGCAAGGAAATTGGCAGGGTAAATACGAAACAACCTAGCTAATAGTAAGGATGCTGTGACATGTGTAAAAAATATTATAATACTCATTAAGGAATGTAAGTCATAATTTCCTCATCCTAGGGTAAGGGTAACATGCAAGAGGGAAATCAGCAGGACAAGCAAGAGCAAGGAAATTGGCAGGGTAAAATGCAAGAGTTGGGAAGTCAGCAGGGTAATGTTCAGGGTAACATTCAAGAAAGAAATCAGCAGGACATGCAAGAGCAGGCAAATCAGTATCACTATTAGCAAGTCACTGTAAAAAAATGTGACACTTTATAACAAACTGAGGTTTTTTAAAAAACATTTTAAACTCCGTAGTAATGAAGCAATATGAAATAAATACATTTTTTTGGAAAAACAGTTCAAAACAAAAAGTATTTTGATTGTGTTATGCTTATGAAATATCTTTCTAAAAAGTAGGGTTTCCCATTGAGAAATTTACACTCATGTTTCCCCAAAAATTTGCTATTAGAAATAACCCCACCTCCTTTTTCTATTTTATGTTCACATTTTTTCATCATCTTTTATTTCTCCCTAAATGCCCACACTGCAGGCCTTGAAGATCCAAAGTCAAGATAAAAATCCTAACTTCGGATCTTCGAGGTCCAAGGTCATAGTAAAAAAATTGTTTATGATTTTGATCCAAAATCAAAAGCCTTTCTTCAAGGTTCACAAGAGCAGCCAAATATGAGGAAATTATCAGGTTTCTTATGGAAAAATCACTTCTATGTGGACTGATGGAAGATAATTTGTGCAGTAGCCAGTTTTTCCAAAACACTGTGCCTTGAAATGCTCCATCCGGATAGTATGTGTTCCCATTAGAAAGTGGTTCCCATTATATGTCTGGGTTTTCTCTCAGCAGCACCATTTTGATGTGAGGGTAGGAAAGTCGATGTGAAATACCATCAGCATTCAGAAAGTTTTTGAAGCACCTACTAGTACATTAACCATCCTCTTCGGTTTGAAGCAATTTAATTTTGTGATCAAACAATTTCCCACATGAAGTTCAAAATGGATAAACACAACAAAGGCATCTGATTATTGATGGAAAAGAAAGGAACCATACTAATTCACTAAATCATCTGCAAAATGTATATAAAAATGATATCCATTAACTGAACTTACAGGAGTTGGGCCTGAAAGGGTGAATGGACTGATTCAAGAGGAGTATTAGCTATAGAAGAAGAAACAAGAGCAGCTGCTTACTCTTGCCCATCTGGCAAGAGGACCAAATGGGCACTGTAGTGGATCCGAGTATGGGTAATCATCATCCGTAAGAAGTTGATGAATTATGTGATGCGCCAGATGGCCCAAGCACCGATGTTAGAAATCAAAGGAAACAAGTTATCCAACGAGGCCATAGCTGCATGTATTTTTATTTATTCCACAATAAGTGAGCTTTATGGGAGCTACCTTTATCTTGCCCTCAAATTTGAGTTGTCCTCACTACCATCCTTAAAAAAAATTCACAAGGATGTAGTTAAAAGAACACATTACTATCCTAAGTAAATTGGCTAGCTGATGATTCTAAGATTTTAGGAATTGCTACGAACATGTAGCATGTTGCGTAAATAGAGAGTAGACAAAGGAGCATGAAAAGGAGTAGAGCCTACGTTCTGGATAGGCAAACTTGCACCGTTTCGCGTAAAGATATGTTCAGAGCTATAATACTTAGACCAATAGCAAGAGGTAAGACTGTTGAGATCAGTGGTGATGAGATTTGTGGCACCCAAGATCAAATGCTAATTAAGATCCATCTAGGGGCAGCATGCAACCCAGTGGTTAAGGTGATGTATCAACTTAATATGCATGGTCAAAGCGGATCCATCAATGAGAGGAGCAAGATTAGGCTGCTCCAAAGTCCAAACGCAACTCCTATTTGAGAAGGGGTCTGTGTAAGTCATCAAGATGGCAAGCTTCAGATTGGGTTGCTACGTTGTAACAAAAGCCTCATGTTCTGATCCAAAGCCATTGAGCATATATAATACTAAAACATAATCAGTTATGGGCTGGGTAACAACAACAAGATTACCAGCTATGCTTTCACCCTTTTGAAGGTAGTCAGTCAGGGAGAGTGCACCCTTATGCAAGGTCTCTAACTAGAAGTGAAGCTGCATTATACGTGCTCAAGATTCAAGAATAAGCCGAAAACAACTTTTCAAGTCCCCCAAACTGAGTAAGAAGTGGACAGACCAACCACCTGTGTGCTCACACTCACAGTGATAGATGAAATAAGCCAAGTTACTTTTGGTTGATAACATTTAAGACCCTATTGTTATCTTCGATGAATTATTTTGGAGGACACTGGAAGGACCCATCGACATAGCCAAGGAAATCATGGCCACGTAGGATTGGCAGAAACTAGGTCCTCCACAGGAGATGAATGTGGCAATCAAGTTTCAGAGATATAAGATGGGTAATTTGTGATAAGGGTATTGAGGAAGGGTTGATGGAGCTATCAGCAAGTGTAAGAGTTGTGTTGGGACTACCGATTAGGTTCTCTATGATAGAGATTAGAGAGAGATGGTAGTGGTGGCAGACTTTTAGCGAGAGATATTAGATGGAAGGAGTGCAGAGATGGGTGATGTTGGGATTTGGTTTGTGGGAATGACAGAAAGACGTGAACCTCAAGGATACATATCTTTGTGAGACGAAGAAGTACATGAAGACTGAATAAGGGCTCCAAGAGGAGAGAGAGCTCAACTATATGGTCGAGACTTACTTTGTTATAATGCAAAGTTTCAATGACTTTCTTACACCTGATAATCTCAGTTATAACAGATTTGCGAAAAGAAGGAATAAAAGAGTTTGTTACACAACTTCCTCTCGCAGTTTTCCTATGGGTGCCTTGGTTTGTGCCTAAGAGTGTACTTACTGTGTGTGGAAAGAGGGGGGAGTGGGTGGGGGGTGTTTTACCATAACAAACATTCATATCATTAGAACCCAACCCAATAAACGGGGATAAAATAGTGAATTTGGAGTTCTTTGTTGCCAATGAGTCTACTTGGAAGAGGTGCAGCACTAGCCTTTTCATAGAACACTAGCCCGTTTCCATGAGGTTTGACATCCAATGACCAATACTTAAATAACGGTGAAACTTTTCAAAGTTCATAGCAAAGTCAAAATTGAGACAGCTGGAGGTCCACGAAAACTAAAGATGTTGAAATATTATTTATTCACTTACAACTTTTAGGTCACTATCATTGTCTCTACATTATGTATTTATCTTCTTCTAATTGAGGGTGATGCATGAAGTACGACTTCTAGATATGGCGGTTGGTCCCTCTATTTGAACTTAGAGCATTGCAAGAGAAATATTATTTCAGATCTAACATACATAGATGGAAATCGTGAGAAGAGATACAGTGACTTATGGTCTGAATGAGGGTATGGCCCTCGATAGTGTAGGATGGCGGAATAAGTTTCGTATATCCAACCTCAAATAGTTGCGATCTGGCTCAGATGATGATGATGATGACGATGACGTGACATAGGTTGACAGGCCAATCAATTTGTTCTTAAGTTTGCAAATAGCATGGCAATATTCTTAGATGTATATTCTAATGATTCTAGGAGAGATTTCTAAAAACATTCACATGTTTCCTTTTCCTTAAAAACCTAAATCACAAATTGGTTTGTCTAAATATAATTTCTCATTTTTTTTAGAAATTTCTATGTTTTTATATGTGGGTCAAACCAAAATAAATTGAAGTACATGAGATAAGGTTATTATAAAATAGAATTATTACTTTTCAATATGAACTATAAAGTAGAAATTAACAATAATAGTTGAGGAAATGCCACCCATAAGGAACTGTAAACACCATTAACAAACCTATTACCAAGATATATCAAGCACTTTCTAATTCCATTAGAAGAATTTAATGCATCACAAACAAGATCCATGAATATGTGAAAACAAGATCAACAAGCTTAGATATGAAAGAACTCCCTTACAAAATGCAACCTCATCGAAATGGTAATTACGGCATTTTGCCATCCTTATGCACTATAAAGGTATCATATAATAAGAATACCAACATTGCAATCAACAAATAAGTCTTTAATCTAGGAAAATGAAGGGATCGAGGAAGATTTTGCACAAAAAATTAGAGCTGGGTGGGTGAAGTGGAAACGTCCAACCGGAGTTTTATGTGATCGCCGCATATACCAAAGAAGCCAAAGGACAAGTTCTACAGGACAACTATGAGACCAGCTTTACTTTATGGGGCGGAATGTTGGGCAGTCAAGAAACAACATACCTATAGAATGAGCGTAGCTGAGATGAGGATGTTGAGATAGATGAGTGACAAGATAAGAAGGGATAGAATTTGAAATTAATACATTTAGGAGAAACCAATAGGAAAATAAGAAAGAGAAAGTAGACTTATATGGACTCGCCATGTGTGACGCAGACCCAACACAACACCTATTAGGAGGTACAATATAGTTCAATGGAAGGTTAACAAATGGCAAGGGATAGGCCCAAAAAGACATAGTTGGAAGTAGTGAGAAAAAATATGGGGACTTACTCACTAAGGGTATGGCCCTTAATAGACGGACCAAGATTCATGTAGCCAACCCTAATTAATTGAAAAAAGGCTATGATGATGATGATGTTGTTGAATATTTGTGTATTGCCTACTACACAAATTGCGTAAGGACCTGCATTCTATAAGGGAGTACATTATACTTGTCTTAAAATGAACAAATATAGATCAACATACAAAGACTGGCCACATAAATTTAGTGAAAACAAAACCCATATAAAAGTCATCATCAAGATATTATCAAGAACGTTACATACCACGAAGCTGTCATCAGTGTATAGATCATTTCCAACTACTGCCCGAATGGTCCATGTACTCAGCTGATTTTTCTGTTGTGGACTGAAGCCCTGCAAACAAAAAGATAGACAGAAACAAGTCATATGAGCTCACATGCACACACACACTTACACTTCTCATCTTAACTTGAAGAAGAGCACTTATCTTCAAAGATGTAACCAGAACTAAACTAAAGAGTAATGGGTTATGAGGATACCATGCAGAAATAACTCAATTTCAGTATTTTTCCTTATTTTCTTTTAATGGCAAGCGAACCGTAAAACAAATAACTCTTCTAATTCTGGATTTCAACGAGACCAATCAAGTTCAAATTCTAAACTTACATTATAAATTATGCACTGCTTTTCCTTTCTTTTTATTGTAAGCATGCCTTAAAACACATTGCTTTTGTCGCATCAAATTGCAATGAGACCAACCACATGCAAATTATAAGCTATATGAAACGGGAAGAAAGTATGGAATCTTAAACACCAAGCATCCCAAACACTTACACTGGCAACATCTTGAGCTGCAGTAAATAAGGCATGATAATCAGCTCTAAGAGCAGGCTCTGTACAAGCTGATTTCGAAGACATCGCAGCCTCTAAAATTGCGAAAAAATGGTGTCCTGTCTCTGGCTTTACACTATCGGCTTGAATCAGTTGTAGAGCCAGCTTTGAAGCCTTGCTAAATTTAGAGGGGGTCCCAATATGTGATGCTATTTTATCCATGGCTTCGGCAACTTGCTTTTCAGATGCATCCACCGTCATTTTGAATCTCAAACGTTTTTGGGGTGCCACCTCTGCATGGGTAACATAATTTCATATGTAAGGGAGAAAACCCCAATTAAGAAAAATACCTCAAAACCCAAAGACAATTGAGATATAATTTCACCTAAATTCATGGAAAAATCACAGGACAACCTAATAAGAAATCAAAGAAAAAACAGATCCTTTTTTCTTGAAACCAAATTGAAACAGGCACAATTAGCCCAAAAATAAAAGGAACTGAACACAAGTTTTTGGTTGGTTCAATATGAACCTAATTTCACAATTACAAACAATACATTGAAAAAAAGGAAAAAAAATAAAACTCAACTAAAAAGAAACAGCAACAAAAATAAGCAGTAACCCTTTTATCATGCAATACACGAAATAAGAATTAGAACCCAGTTCACATAAAAGGCTAACAATGGAGTACACAATACGAAAACTAAAACAAATTCATTGAGAGTACACAAATATTAGAGGAAAAACACAATGAAATTTCTATAATGAGAGAGAAAGCAGAACGAAAGTTATATTAAGTAAGATAAAATAAGGGTTACCTTCTCTTTGGGGCTCTGTGGGTTTCTCGCGCTTAAGGCCGCCTTTTAGGATAGGAGGAGGAAGAGTTGATCTATTTTCAAGCTTTTTGTGAGTGTGCGTCTCTGCATCTTGTGGTTGGGTCAGAGGTTTCGCTAAAGGGGGAGGTAAACCCACGAAGAGGTTGTCCTCCATTGATGAAAAGAAGGGTTTCAAAGGACTTCTCTCTCACTCGGGATGCAAAGACTCGCAGCAGATTCTGGTACAACAATTGCGAGTATACCTTCTCTCTTCGGATCTCTCAAATTTGCAACTCACTAGTCCCTAATCAGCCAAGGCTTAAATCTCTCACGCTTTCCGTCTTTATTCTCTTTCTTGAGTCCCACCCAAATTGCGCAGGGTTGGAACCGGGTCCATGTTTTTGACCCCGCAGGTCAGCCTGGGTCCAAACCACTTGGACCCGTTCCGGGTCTGGCCAGGCCACTATCGGGGCCGTGTAGGGTCAACCGGACCCGACTCGGTATACAATACATAATATATATGTTTTATAATATATATTAATTTTTTATTTTTTTTATTTTTAGACCTTGATATAGCTCGGGTCTAGATCCAAATGATGTGATCTTGACCTAAGTCTCGATCGGGTTTGGGTACAAGTCACTTGGACTTGACTTGGACCGGGTCCAAATGGAACTTAGTTAGGTTGCGTGCGGATCCAGGTCGACTAGGACCCGACCTGACCCATTGACACTTCTAAAATTTCTTTCTCCTTCTCTCTCTCGGTTAGGCTTAGTCGTGCTTGACTTGAGAAGTCTAGGGACTGGCTCAGAAGTGGTTGTGTTAGAGTAGATCTAATCTGGGTCCATATATCAAAAAATATATATTTTATAATATATAAAAGGAAAGAGTTTACATAAGGTTGCCATATTAAAATGTAGAATCATATATGTATCTCAAAAATCTATCTTAAAATGTAGAATCATATATGTATCTCAAAAATCTATCGGAAAAAGTTGTTTTATGTTGAAAAACCCTCTAATTGATCATCTCGACATCGAGATATATGAATATGAAAAAAAAGATTTTTTATCCTTGAAATAGTGCATCTTGCAATACATGACTTAGACTGTCTATTTTCAAAATTTTCATATGTTTATAGATCTACCTAATTTGAATCATTTTTAGAGTTTAAAACTTTATAATTAGATATGAAAATAGATTTTAAGATAATCTTAAGCAGCGTTTTAAAAAACGCCGAGTCGAATCGGACTCGCCCGGTTCGACTCGGAATTCGCGAAAAGGGACCGGATCGGTTGAAAAATCGGAAATCGTCCGGTTCTAGAGAGAACCGGACGATTCCGCACAGTGACTCTCCGATTCACTGTACGGAATCGGCGAGTCCGAACAGTGAATCGGCGAGTCGTACGGTTATTTTTTTTTTTTTTTTTTTTTTTTTTTTTTGTTAATCCATGTATAAATTTTTTGTAATACTTGATCGATTTTTTTGTAATCCATGATCGAATTGTTTTTGTTTTTTTGTAATCCATGATCGAATTTTTTGGTTTTTTATAACCCATAATAGAATTTTTTGTAATCCATGATCGTAAATGTTTGTTTTCTTTCTTGTAATCCATGATTCGTCTTTT